AAAAAATTCTGAAGAAAATAATACCTTAAAAAACACAATTGGCATAATGATATAAGAGGTACAAAAATTTACTGAAGAAAATAACTTCTTAAAAATTAGAATTGGGCAAGTGGAAACTAATAATTCCATGACACATCAAGAAACAATAAAACAAAATGAAAAGAATTAAAAAATAGAAGAAAATGTGAAATGTCTCACTGGAAAAGCAACAGACTTGAAAGACAGATCAACGAAGAGATAATTTAAGAATTACTGGATTACCTGAAAGCCATGATCAGAAACAGCCTTGACACTACATTTCAAGAAATTATCAAGGAAATATCTTAGATCCCAATAGAGCCCCAATATCTTAGATCCAGAAGGTAAAATTGAAATTGAAAGAATTTACCTATCACCTGCTGAAAGAGACCCCAAAATGAAAACTACCAAGGATTACTATAGCTAAATTTTAAAGCTCCCAGGTCAAAGAAAAAATACTTCAAGCAGCTAGATAGAAAGAATTAAAATATCATGGAGCCACAGCCAGGATCACACTAGAGTTAGTAGCTTCCACCTTAAAGGAGTAGAGGGCTTGGAACATGATATTCCTGAAGGCAAAGGGGCTATGATTACAACCAAGAATCACCTACCCAGAAAGTAACCAACTAACCTGAGGGTAACCCTTCAGGGGAAAAAAAAATTGACATTTAATGAAATAGAGGACTTGAATTTCAAGCATTCCTGATGAAAAGACCAGAGCTGAATAGAAAATGTGACATTCAAACAGAAGACTCAAAAGAAGCGTAAAAAGGTAAACATGACAGAGTAATCATAAGACACTCAATAAAGTTAACATTCCTATATGGGAAGATGACACATGAAACTCCTAAGAACTTTATCATTTTTAGGACTATTAAAAGGAATTTACATATAACAGAGGGCATGGGTACAAGCTGATTATATTAGAATGGTCTCCAAAAAAAGAATAAAGGGGGAAGAAAAAGATATGCACTGGGAGAAGGGGGAAAGAGAAAGGAATAGGCAGAATGGGGAATTTTTTCTCTCATAAAAGAGGAACACAAGGAAAAGCTTTTATATTGGAGAGGAAAATGGGGAGGGGGAGGTGGCAGGCAATGCTTGAACCTCACTTTCATCAGAATTGGTTTAAAAGAAGGATATATAGGTATAGATATCTATATATATGTAGATATATGTGTGAAATATATGTACATATATAATATATGTACATACACACACTCAGTTGTATATAGGAGTGTAACTTGGAAATAGGAGGGAAAAGGGATAGGAGAAAGTACAGATGATAAAGAGGAGGGCAGATAAAAACAGGCAGTGGTCAGAAACAAAATAAACTTTTGAGAAAGGACAGGATAAAAAGAGAGAGAGAGAGAGGAAGAAATTCAAGAAAATGGGATGATGGGAAACACATTGTTAGTAATCATAACTGTGAATGTGAATAGAATGAACTTACCCATAAAATGGAAGCAGACAGCAGAATGGATTAGAAACCAGAATCCAACAATATGTTGTTTACAAGAGACACACTTGAAACAGAAAGACATACAGAGTTAAAAGAAAGGGCTGCTGCAGAATCTATTATGCTCCAGCAGTCATGATCTCAGACAAAGCAAAAGCAAAAAGAGACTTAATTAACAGAGATAATCAATGAAACTACATTTTGCTAAAAGTTACCATAGACAGGATAGTAATAGCAAAGAATTTTTGCAGCAAGTTTCTCTGATAGGGACTCCATTTCTCAAATATATGAGTATAATACTGAGTCAAATTTATTTTAAAAAAATGGGAGCAATTCACAAATCAATAAATGGTCAAAGAATATGAACAATTGGTTTCTAGAAGAAGAAATCAAAGCTATCGATTGTCATATGAAAAAACGCTCTAAATCACTATGGATTAGAGAAAGGCAAATTAAAACAACTTTGAAGTAACACTTCACACCTATCAGAAATGACAAATGCTGAAGGGAAGGGTGAAAATTGGTACACTAATGAATTATTGGTACAGTTGTGAACTGGCCCAACCATTCTGGAAAACAATTTGGAACTATGCCCAGGGCCATAAAACTGCGTATACCCTTTGACCCAGCAATACTACTGCTAGGACTATATCCCAAAGAGAACAAAAAGGAAAAGGACCTATATGTACAAAAATATTCATAGTAGCACTTTTTGTGGAGGCATATAATTGGAAGTCGAAGGGATGCTCATCAATTGGGGAACGGCTGATCAAGTTGTGGCATATGATTCTGATGGAGTATTATTGTGCTATGGGAAATGACAAAGGATGTAGTTTCAGAAAAATATGGCAAGACCTGTATGAACTGGTGCAAAGTAAAGTGAGAAGAATCAGGAGATCATTGTGCACAGTAACAGCAATACTATAATGATGATTAGTTGTGAAAGACTTGACTACTCTGATCAACGCAATAATCCATGACAATTGTAGGGGACTCATGACGAAAAATTGCTATCCACCTCCAGAGAGAGAACTAATTAACTCTGAGTACAACCTAAAGTATTGCTTTCCTTTTTTTTTAATTTTATTTATTTTTAGTTTTCAACATTCATTTCCATAAGATTTTGAGTTCCGAATTTTCTCCTCATCTCTCCCCTCCCACCACCCCATTCTTGTTTTCTCTGTCTCTCTTTATATATATGCTTTATTTTTTGATGTACGGCTAATGTGGAGATGCATTTTATATGATTTCACATGTATAGTTGATATCATATTGCTTGCTTTCTCAGTGGATGGAAGAGGGATATGTGATTAAGGGAGAGAATTTGGAACTCACAGTTTAAAAAGAAAAGAATGTTTAAAAATAATATTTTTTTAAAAAAAGATTATTTTGATAACTATGTCAATATAATTGGTTTCCTTTGTAATCCTATGTATTTCATTTAATGCACTTAAAACCATTATTCTGAAGGCGCCCAACCAAGCCAGAGTAGAGTGGGATGAGACGGTCACAAACCTTGTTCGGGATGCTGTGCCTTTATTTCTGTAACCAAATATTATGTTAGATTTCTAGACTGCTCTTCACCCTGGTGACTCATTTCAATGCTTTGCAGCCCACCAAAAACCCCAAATCTTTTTCACAGAACTTGGTGTCTAGCCATGACTGTATCCCTCTTGTTATAGCATTTTACCTGGATAGCCTTTAAAAAGCCAGAGGTCCCTTCATGCATCAGCAAGGCATTGGAGTGAGACTTAATTCATGAAATGCCCTTAGTTATTTAAATAAGACACTAAGATATCCACGTGCAGCCTGTTTACCACAAGTCAGCTATTGCTGTTGGGCATAATTCATCCAACTACATGGCAATTACTGAGAAAGGATTTTCCCATGTGTGTCTACAGTTGAAAAAAGGCAATATAGTTTTGAAAACCATTAACAAAAGTATTTTATACAACACAAAATGGAGCCATTGTTCCTTAAAATTTTCTGTGTTGGTTGGTCTCTCTGCCTTTTTTGTGTATTTTTGGGTCTCTTTATGTTGCATTCAACTTTGTTTCTATATCAATATCTCTCTATGCCTCTCTTTAGACTCTGTTACCTCCCTTATGACTGCCCCTCCCTTGTACACCCCACCCACCCACTAGCTCTATTCCTTCCCCCCTCTCTTAAGAGGCCAGAATACAGAACTCAAAATAATGTTTATATTTGCCACACTAAAAAATACAAGGCAAAACCAAAAATATACTACAAAGTCAAAACCTGTGATTGTGGTGTGGAAATTTCCTTGATTAATATAGATCATGACCAATCTATAACCAATCTAACAAGTTGCCAGAGGCCTCAAAGGGGAAGTAACTTGTCAGTAATCACTCGGGTGATAAAAGGTGAGATTTGAACCCAGAATCCAGTCCTGACTTTTTTCCCCGTTGTCAGAGAAGCAACTTAATATTTTTTATAGATGTGGTCATCAATCGATTTTTTTTTCTGTGAACCACTGATAGGAAAAATGCTCCAATTCTAATTACCATTTTATAAACCACATGAGCTCCTTGAAAGCAGGGATGGCCTTACTTTTCTATTTGTATGTCCCAGCACTTAGAATAGGGCTTTATACATGAGAAACACATAATAAATGATTTTTTCATTCATTCATTCACACACTCAGAATAAAGAGCTGACCAAGTGTATGGCTCTCAAAAAGCGCACTTTGAGGATGTAATGCTCAAGCAAGCCCAAGTTACACCTAAGTAGGCTGAATGCTCCAAGTTTGATTGAATTGGTCGATAAAGCCATTTCGATGTGAAGGGAAATTTTCATGACGTGAAAGTAATTTCACCTCAAGGTCGAAAGAGAAACAAACTCAGGGTTGGGTTTCATGCCTATCTTGAGTTCCTGGAAGTTTTGATTCACTTTAAATTGAATGGGAGAGGCAGGAATGAATCAGACCTCTCAGTTTCATTTTGATTCGGTTGACTTGTGGAGATATAACTTGACACAATGACTGACCATCCAAATGAGAAAGGGAACAAAGAAGGAAGAGTCATTATTTCACAACAACTCAAGCTATGACAAAAATAATTAAAACTTTTTTTCTTCAAGACAAAGGTGAGACATTGCATTTTCTTGGCTACAGGGGTTTTACATTTTATTGCAAGCAAAGTAGCTAATAACTTCCTTCTCTCATTTAGGGACTCATTTAGAGACTCATTCAAGGTGTTTTTCGTAAGAATTTAAAGAGAAAATTACCATGTAGATATTGATAGGTTAAATCTGACCCTCTTGTATGACCTAGTACAAGTGATCTAATCTCCGTCCTACTTCTTTTCTTCTCTTCTTATAAAAATGCATTTCTCCAAGTGTCCAAGTACAAGTGGGGGTTACTATAAAAGCTTGTTAAGAATATTTTATCAGGTGGATCCATTATAGTCACTTTCAGAAATTCTCAACATATTGGGGGGCGAAATCAAATCATATTAATGAACAAGAGCAAATTATCTCATTTGCCCTAAGATAAAGTGTGACTCACCCCTAAGACCCCAAATCGTTCACAAAAGTTCCAACCACAGAGAAAGTCGATTTCAAAGTTGTGGTTAAGGATTACGATGGCATTTTCTTTCCCGTACTTGTCATAATCCTTGAGTTCGGTGTACAGCGTGCACTGAGTACCTGACCACCATTCCAGCAGCATCACCAACTCTGGAACAAACCACAACAAATAAAGACATTTAGTGAGTCTCTGGTGACTAAAAGTCATTTACACTGCTGGGTAGAGCTGGACACCTTGTTTTGCAATTCCACTTTAAGGGAAAACTATCCACTTCAGTTCAAGTAGGTCCAACCTACATTTTGAAACATTAAGTCCAAGGGTCAGTCATGAAATGGTTTCATAGAAGCAGAAAGAGAAAAGAGAACCTGTGCAATCATCTCTAGGGAGGACAGGTGGGGAGCTGTTGAGATGATAAGCTTTCATTCTCCGAATAACCACCTGGGGGAGAGGCAATAAATCAGAAATCTTGGCTCCATCAATAGTATGTGCCTTCTTGTTTATTGTGCTCTAAAAGAACAAGGTGAGATGATGCATGACACTTTTTATATCCTGGGAAATGACTAATTGGGATGCTTACAAACTCCATCAAAGACTACTAAATACTCTATTTTTATTTGGCACTTATTATACTTGAGAGTGCTAGGAATAACAAAACGGAAGAGGAGGAGGCAGAAACATTTTTTTTTAATGAGATTTGAAGTAGAAGCATAAATAAATAGTAAAGGTGATAAGATGACTTAGAAATAGAACACAGGAGTTCCTTTCCTAAAGTATTACTCTTATGTCTCCTTATGCTGGGGAAGAGATACTGCATTCTTAGACTACGACAGGAGGCTGCTAGATGGACTAGACAAGGACCACCCTAAATCTGGGGTTCCTTAGTCCACGACTGACAAGCACATTTAAATACTTGGGGATCACTAGAAACTCAAAGACCTTCTATTAAAGTTTATGACATACACTGGTATAAAGATAACCCACACCAATGAAATCACAAAACTTCAGGAAGCAGCAGGACCATAGGAAGTGATATATTTATCACAATGTACCTAAGTGAAACAGTAATTAGTTAGAATTTTATTGTGATAATATGATCCAGTGGCTGTCACAGAGTTTCAAAAACACACATGGAACTTCTGGCTATATCTTTAAAAAAAAGAAAAAAGCTCAGGTCAATTGCCACTTTCTACATGGAACCTTTCCTGATTGACCCTATATGCAACTGCTTGTGGGATTCTACATTTCAAGATGGAAGGCCATTAGACAACATCTATTCAACACCCTCATTTATATATGAGGAAACTGAAGGCCAAAGAGACTTGCCCTATGTGCACAAGTAATAAATGACAGAAGAATGACTCAGAACTATTGCTCTGTCCCCTGGTAGAATGTAAGTTCCTTGAGGGTAAGGATTGTTTCATTTGTCTTTATATCCCCTACATCTAGCTAGTATAGTGGCTAACACAGATGGTTTTCATTGTGAATAGCTATCAGTCCACAAACATTTTTGACCACCTACTCAATGCCTAACAAATATTTGTCGATTGAAATCTATTCATAGTCAGAAACCTATATAATAGGTGGGCTTATAAGTGGATAATTCAACAATGATGACTTTAAAAATTCTATACCACCTGTGAGGATTATTTCATTATTAAAAGACAAAAAGGAATATAGAATCTGTATCTCCATTCCTTTCAAAGAGAAGTTTATCACTAGTTTATGAAGCACACCTTTATAGGGAGACAAGGGTCAAGAGATTTGTAGAGGACATTTCCAACACTTCTGGCTGCTCTTCACATTTCCATGACTCTGGAAACTGTTCCTTGACAGAATTTCTTAAGGCGCTTGGTGCTTCTTTCAGAACTATGTAGACAGATAGATAGACAGACAGACAGACTGACAGATATGGATAGATCAGTAGATAGATAGATAACTGACAAATGTCAGATGATAGATGGATGGAGTTAGATAGATGGAAGATGGGCAGGTAAGTGGCACAATGGCTAGAGTACCAGGCCTGCAGTCAGGATGACCCGAGTTCAAATCTGGCCTCAGACACTTTCTAGCTGTGTGACCCTGAGCAAAGTCACTTAACTCTGTTTGCCTCAGTTTCTTCATTTGCAAAATGAGCTGGAGAAAGAAATAGCAAACTACTCCAGTCTCTTTACCAAGAAAACCCTAAATGGAGTCACAGAGTCGGGCATGACTAAATAGCAACTGAATGACAACAAAAAAAGGTAGATATATAGATAACTGATAAATGTCAAATGATAGAGGGACAGAGATAGATAACTGATAGATGTCAGATGATAGCTAGATACACATAGAAGAGTAGATAGATAAATGCCAGATGATACATGCCAGATGACAGATGGATCGATAGATAGGTAAATAAGAAATTGATAGATGTCACACAAAAGATGGATGGATATAGATCAATAAATAGAGAAATATTAGATAATGAATGGATACATGATGGATGTCAGATGATAAATAGATAGAAAGGACAGATGGATAGATACTACTGAACCTGAAGGATACAGCATTGACAGCTGTTGAAAAGGTCCCATCACAAACACTGTCAGAATACAGACACTAAATTCCTATCCAGTATTCCCAGATTTAATATGTGATTACTGTCACTATCTCCAAAGGAGCTACACGGCCTAAAGTAAAGAGCATGAGTTACTTGTACATGTTTGGCATGTAGGAGGAACAAAAGTAGAACAGCCCAAAATGTATTATTTGGAAGCAATCAATTCCTGTTATGCCCACGACCCAAAGAGAAGAGGCACACTGCACTTCCCAATAGTAAGCACTTAGGAAGCACCAACTTTGGGCCAAGCAATGAGGGCACTACAGATACAAAGTAAAAACTCTGTCTTCTCTGTCTTCAAGGAGGAGGGTGGATTAAATATATAAGTATATACAAAATGGATACAATGTAACCTGGGGCAGAGAACCCTAGAGTGGGGCACTAGGAAAGGTCTTCACACTGATGACAGCACTTGGATTGAGTCTTGAAGGAAACCAGAGACTTTAGGTGGCAAAGAAGAATTGAAAGGGGCTTTTCTAGAAGGTTTTTGCTTTGTGACTAGAAGAGACAGCATGGATCTGGACTGTGGCTGTCCATTGACTGTCCTAGTATCCCAGATGAGAGCTAAAACATGGGACTTAGTAATCAGGTGCCAAAACAACAGAGGGACTGTGATTTGGTGACTGATTAAGTTTTCCTTACTGTTATCACTAGAAAGAAGAAATGATACTCGAAATGAATGCAGTGTCTGAATATTGTAGTTACACATATGCAGGGTAATTCTATAGAACATCAAGAGGTTGTAGCTGTTCTCTGTAATACAATGATCTAAGACAATTCTACAAAATACTCATGATGGAAAATGCTATCCACATCCAGGAGTCTGAATGCAGATCAAAATATACTATTTTCATTTTTGTTATTCTTTTTTCTTTCTCGTGGCTTTTCCCTTTTGTTCTGATTCTTCTTTCACAATATGCATAATGTTAAATATGTTTAATATGATTGTACATGTATAGCCTATATCAGATTGCATACCATTGGGGGAAAGGGAAAAATTTTGAAACTCAAAATCTTATAAAAGTAAATGTTGAAAACTAAAAATTAAGTAATTAATTTTTTTAAAAAGAACATCAAGAGTCTCTATAGAACATCTAATCTCTCTCTAGACAGAAAAGGCTATTTATTCTGAAGTTTGGGAATCCACTGGCAAATTACAGAAACAGGGATCCCTTGCCTACCCCAACTATTTAATCTTTGTCAACGGTGGTGAATTCTGAGTTGATGAGAATCTTAACCTCAATGTATCAATTAAGTTTCAATTCTTTGTCAAGAAATACCATGGCAAACTTCCATACAAACAAAAAAATCCCAACTATTGGCCCTCCTATTGCAAGCAGTGCCCAGGACAGCAAAGTTCCAGAGAATCCAAAGAATGACTCTAGGAGAGTCATTTCAGGTTTACTGTAATTTATTAATAACAACATGATTTTTAAGTAGTCCTCCAGTACACAGCATGACACAGAATCCCCATGGGTTTAATCAATAGATTATATAACACATGCACACTACAGTTTCCCACATTCATCTTGCCAGAAGGCTCCTGCCTGTATTGGATGGTTGTCAAATACCAAGTTGTACCTTTGTAAGTTAATTCTTCTGAGCATATTTAAGAGGGTTAAGCGAAAAACAAGCATTTATCTTGAAACTAAAGAACTATTACTATTAAAAGGTATAAATTAAGTGCTGACATCGACTTGAATGGCAGCAAAAAAAGATTTTTTTTCTTGCTTTGTATTACTTTCAAATACTGAAAGGAAAAAAATTTAATGAATGAACTCTCTGGGGACAACCTTTCTGGGCCTTGGTTTCCATTGTAAATAAAACAATAGGTTAATTAGCCAATATCTAAGTCACTTTTCAGCCATAAATTATTAAGCCATGCTTCTAATAATATGCACATTTATGTAGGTACATCTATCTCTAAACATCACTATAGATATATCTATGTGAATATGTTCAGTAAAGGACCAAGATTTCTAAGTATGTGAAGGTTTCACCTACCTGAAACCAAATAACTGGTAAATTCATTTAGTTCCATGTCATACAAACCAGAAGACTATTTGAGTAAACTCTTGACTTTTCCTACATAGATTGTGACACTCACAGAGTGTAGACTCCCAGGTGCTAACACAAGCCTTCACTGTTTCCCCCATGAGGAGCACTGTGATGGTTTCTGATTGGTTGTACTCCACTCTCAGTTTCTATAAGCTTAGGTGCTCTTCTCTTGGGTGGGTTCTTAGATACCACAAGCGAATTTTAAGTACAGAAATGAAAGACAATTTTGAGACTGGTGTCAGCAGGAAGAGCTTGACTGCTCTGTATAACAGAGAAAAAAGCATCCAAGAAGTCACCTTAGTGTCTTATTTTTTTTCTAGCTTTTTAAAGCTACTTCTAGGGGGAATAAATGATGTTAACTATTCTCAACTAAACTAAAAATATTTCACCATTACGTTGTGAACTTAGGCCCTTACTGTGAAGAAATCTTCAAAAAGATAGGCATACTGAATGCAATTACAGATCTTCATTTCTGGGGACTTCTATTTCTGC